AAGATGTTATTCTCCGATATACTATTCTCTTTTGCTGATATAATTTTAAATAAAATGTTTTCTGAATTAAATATTTACATAGTACTTTTTCAATGTAATGCTGATGATAATTTAAATAGTGTATCTTTTCATATTTGATTTAAAATTTTGTTTACCTCGCGCAAATTTATTAGGTGTACAACTTTGCTTCCGCCGTTTTTTTCCGAAATTCGAGGCTTTATTGTAAAAAACTGATTATACATTTATGATTCAAAGTATTGTCCATCGCTGGCCACTACTTTCTCCCATCTTTCGGGTAGCGTACGAATCCCGCGTCGAAAAAACTGGTCATCTTTTGAGGCTATCCACGAATCGATCCAATTTTTTACTTCTTCATAAGACCGGAAGTGCTGGTCAGCCAGGCCGTGTGCCTGATCGAAACAAATGATAGTCAGAGGGAGCAACGTCTGAAGAATACGGCGGGTGGGGTAGGACTTCCCATTTCAACGTTTCCAACTATGTCTTGACCACTTTCGCAACATGGGGTCGAGCATTGTCATGCTGCAAAATCACTTTATCGTGTCTCTCGTTGTATTGCGGCCGTTTGTCTTTCAATGCTCGGCTCAAACGCATCAATTGCGTTCGATACCGATCGCCTATGATTGTTTCAGTCGGTTTTAACAGTTCATAATACACTACGCCGAGCTGGTCCCACCAAATACAGAGCACGACCTTGGACGTCAAAATCACCGTTCTTGAAGCGTTGAAACCACTCACGACATGTTCTTTCACTAATAGCGGCCTCACCATAAGTATTTGAGAGCATTCGATGAGCCTCAGTCGCAGATTTCTTCATATTGAAGCAAAAAATTAAAACCTCCCGCAAATGACGAGAATTTGGCTCGTAAACTGACATTTTCAATCGAGAATAACTTTATGATGCAGACACAAATCGACTAATGTTTCTATGGGGTTATGTTGACAGATGCCCAAGTTTATTGTATGACGTCTATGATCTATTTATTTCAACTACCACTTACCGCTAAAGTCATCTATAGGAAAACGGCGGAAGCAAAGTTGTACACTTAATAATAAATATAGTAATAAGATATATAATAAGACAATAGAACGAAATGATACGAAAATGATGTAAAACAATTAAATTTTTTTTATTATTCGTTCGTAACAATTACAAAATTACAAATTACATGTTCAAATGCTCGGTTTTATTTTATTTCAATTGATTCATGCCTTTGATGCCTTTCCTCAATATATGATTATCTTAAAATTGTTTTATGCATCGATTTTAAATATTCTGCTTATTGAGTAACTAAAAACAAAAAAAAAACAAAGAATTCTGAAAATTGCAAAATGATAGGACTTTTTAACTCAGTTTAGGATTCACGAACAATAGATGCTTTCCATTTGATGATACAAGCCGATACAAGCGTCGTTCTATTCTTATTGACAAAGGTAGAATGACACTTGTGTCGACTTGTCATCAAATGTAAAGCATCCAATGTATCAAAAAATTTGGACACTATGTATATTGATTTATTCTTTTTTGAAAGTCATTTTTAAAAATCAATAATTTTTTTCTATCTGTTTTCTGTTCCTAAGACAATGGATGCCTTTCAACAGGAAACACACAATTGCATTATTATCCTTGTTATTCGTCAAAGATAAGATAATCACTGTGTTGCACTGAGTCGCTTGTTAGAAAGCATTCATTAATATCCACATGTTCGAAAATCCATCCAGAATGTTTTTATATACGGTAAAAATAGATTTATGGAGGGTCATTTCATTATGAGGGTCAACTATTGTGTATTTATTTTTTGTCACATATTATTTGGGATTCTTTTCTTTTAAAATAATTAATTTCATTTACATATGGTTGACCACTGATTTTCCTGTTGAAAATCTCCTTAACGAGCTTTTGCTTCCGCATCTTTTTAATGATTTATTTAGTCACAGACATAAGTAAGTTACTCGACACTGTTACTTATTGCTAGAAAGTAATGATTCGTTACTTTTTTTCGTTATTTTTTCTTTTGTAAGCAAGATATTAGATTTTAAAATTATACATTCACACACACATTACTTAATTAATATTAAATAATCAAAAAAAATTTAAAACTCTAAGCTAGTTTCTATATAGTAGAAAGCTTTCCTTTATATCAAACTTATCTAATAAATTTTCTATAATTCTTTACATTAATATTTTTACTTTAATATATATTTTTCTTTAGGACTTTAGATTCCCAAAGGTTATAATTTATAAATTTTATTAAAAATTGAAATTAAACAATGTTTTTACACAAGTAAATTATTGAACATTATCATCAACGATATTATTATTAACAATGCATTTCAATATTTACTGCTAGTATAATTGTATTTTGTGAAAATTTATAGTTATATAAATATATACTATTTTCAGTATTGGCAGTGACTACCGAAATGCAGCTTAAGATGTTAAGTACAAAATATTTTTCAATACTTAAATTCCTATTTAAATTCCTAAATAAAATATTTTTATTCAATCAAAAATAATGCGATTTATCAAATAGATATAAAGATAATAGAGAATATTAAAGTAACAAAAAAAGTAACAGCTGAATCCGTTACTGTAAGAATGTAATAACAATTACCATTTTCATCACAGACAGAAAAAAAAGTAACGATCATCGCGTTACAAGTAACGCATTATTTCCCAACTCTGCATAGTATGTTTATTATTTTAGATTATTATTTTAATATTGATTATGTTTACAAAATTACGAACGTTATTTTTTACTAATTATACATTTTTATTGATCTTGTAATATCAATCATCAGTAAATCATCGATATAAGTAGTATTAAATGTATTAAAAATTATCATTCCTTCATTAAAAAAAAAAATGTTTTGCAGCTTCATATATACATATTAAAATTTCCAATAATTTATGTAAAAAGCAGAAACAAATTTCTACCCAGATAGAAGGTGAAGAGGAGTTCATAGAGAATTAATTTTAAAGAAGAAATATAAAAATGAATATCTGAAGAATTCTTGAAGAATTAATCACAATTAATTTATCTTGAAGTATTCTTCAGAAATTCATTACAATGAATATTTCGCGATTTAATACTTTGAGTACTCTGAGAATTTAGGAATTGAGGAATTGCAAGTACACGTAAGCGTAGTCAGACACGAAGTTCTCTACTAAGTGTGTATCGGAACGGACGTGTTTCGTCTCTGCTGGGGTGTTGCATCATTCTTAATTTTTGTTAAGCTGTCGAGCTTTTTCATGTTTCCTTATTTTTGAACTTGTTACCTACACTTTGGAACCAGTTTATGGCTGGCTGTAAGAGCCAATAATATGATTCATGCATAGAACATCCCAGCAAGCTACGTCATTTTGTCGTCAGCTTGCTACTAGGAATACAACACGAACAAATTTTGAGATTTAGGCTCAATTTCACAACTCAGTTAACTCTTAACCGAGATTCAACTTATTTATTATTTTTATTATCTTTATTATATTTATTATCTTTTTCCAATTCTAGAATTGGAAGAGATGAGAAATAAGTTGAACCTCGGTTAAGAGTTAACCGTGAGTTGTGAAATTGAGCCTTTATAACCCTATTGATATTTTATAACCCTATATGCCTATTCTATAAACACTTCTTGAATTCATAAGGCATATCTGTTGATATAAAGAGAACACTACATGAATGCTTTAAAAAGTTTTCAGAAATTCGAAATTAAGAAGTTTCATGCATGAAACTTCTTAAAATATTCTTATTGTGTTCTTGTATAAATTTCTAAGGAATTACAAAAGGAGAAAACTTGAAGAATACTTTACGAATTCACTGAGCTATCTGGGCTACAATTAAGTTGGATATTTAAACATCAATCTGGCATTTATATATTTGTGAATCATAAGACAAATTTCAAAATAGATTTATTTGACTAAGAGTTTATATGATATGTGCAAAACAAAATATTTTTTAAAAATTTTTATCAAATATTTTTTAACATTATGAAACATAATTTATTTACAGGGATATGTTACCACTAAATTGTCAAGGCACGACTAACAGTACAATTAGCAGTTCAGTGAGCAACGGCGGTAGTATCCAATCTTTGCAGAGTATCGATTCCGATAGTCCGAGTCTCGCAATGTCACCTCTATCAACTATGGGTATGTCACCAGTCACTATGAATCCATGCAGCCCGATGGGCATGAGTCCCATGGGTCCTCATCATGGCTATGCCACTCCTGTTACCCCATCGTCCGTTCATACCTCACATTCCCATAATGGCGGATTGAGTCCTATGAACGACGTTAAGGCTTTATATGGACGCAGTGTGTACGACACAGGTAAATTATTAAATATTCAGAGAATATTAAATGGGGAAATCTTGAATGCTTATATAAAAATGTATTGTGTTTATATATTTTTAATTTAATTTTGCATAATGTAATACCAATACTTAAGACATTTAAAACTTAATTTCTTAATTCTTAATTTTTTAACTTCATCTAATCTACAGAGATATGTAAAACAAAAAAAGAGAATTATAATTTCATAATTTTGCATAATATCATTTGCAATTGATAATGTTAACATGTACGAATTCCTGAATTTAAACTATCCTGTTTTTTATTTTTAGTATTCTAATTTTCAATATTTTTAATTCGTAAGGTAAAGACGTGGAGCAGAGTTCAGTTTATTACTCCAGCCATTCCAGTATGCACCACCAGTATTATCAACAAACTCATCATCAGATGATGTCCAGCTCCCATCATCATCACCATCATCAGCAGAGCGTGCCAGCCGGCTACGAGATTATGCTGCCCCCGCCTTCCATGTGACTAACGGATTATGAGGACGACCGAAGTAATCAAAGTCTTCACGGTAATGACGACGTGGTAGCTCGTATACACGCCTTCGCCTGATCCTTCTGCGTTTTCTCTCGTCTCGATTTTAATCGCACGCAATAAAGAACAACATGGATATTGATGAAATTGTTGTTTTACAAAGGAGGAGGTACAATCGTTTCTAATTCCTTATCCTCGAAAAATGTTTACTTAAAAAGGTAGCGAAAGTTGTTTTTACATGTTTTATGTGAATGATATTCCGGGAAAAAATGTTATATAAATGAACATATTTTATATATAATTATATATATTTGTATATGAAATATGTCAATTTTTTGTATAATTATATATAATTT